AGAAAATTCCATTCCTTGCCGGAGCTCGAGCATCTCAAGTTCTACTAGTCTTTTCCTCAAACCAAGAGCATGGCTCAACTCCAAGGCTTGCAAGGAGTTAAAAAACAACCTCTACTAGCTTGATTTATGTGAGATGAAGCTGGTAGAGAGATTGGACATACGGATTGTACGGACGAGGAAGACTCGAGAGAGGGAGAGAGAGAAGTTTATACGTGTGAGTGCATGTGTGTGTGTCCGAATTGGGTATCCATATAAAATCTTTAAGCCTAATTGGGCTACCAATTGTAGGCTAAGATTCATCCAAAACAATCCCAAGTTTCAATTGGGTCCAAAGAAGTAGGAAAAGAAAAGAATTAGTCCATTTTCTTAGCCCAATAATACATTCACAACCTAACGCTCAAGGGCAAAATAGTCATTCCACGCTATCGATGATAAAATATATTATATTTCGGGACAGGTTGTCACACTTCAAGCATCTAATTTGTGCATTATAGTGCACTATTTTGGTAGAAAGCCTACCTGAGGATCATTTAGTGGCGAACCTTAAGAGTATACTTGGTGAAGCTGGAAAGTATGTTTTTTTTCCTTCTTTTTCACCCCATGCTGTGACATTACTGTTCTCTTTAGTTTTGGTTATAGCATGGTTTTCAATCTTCCAGTTAAGAGTATACATATGAAGATGTATTTCATACGACAAAAGTGTAACATCTGTGTCTTTCTATCTCAATCTCGCTCTCAATTGATTTTAAATATTTTTTTTCACATGTTAATCACATTTGCTAATCTTCTGCTATCCAAAATTCTATTTTCCATCGTTTGTTTTTTCCCTTCCTTATATCTGTCACTATTATTGATAATCAAATGTTTTTTTTCAAGTTATTAGTCATGCAAGTCTGCACACTAAATAAAGTTTTCAAGACACTGAAGTTACGGTAAGCCATCATACTTTATAAAGAATTTATAACTTTTAAGTGATTGCAAATTTGGTTGACAGTGGAAACTATGAAGATTTAATGTATGTTCGAATCATTGATCCAACCAAAGTGGATATTTGTGTCATCTATTTCATAAATAGAATAAAAAACTCATGTATATAATTGACTGATATTTTGATTCCTTTTATTGTTTAGATGGTGAAATGTTGGGTCAAGCATGCATACTCTGTTGCTAAAACTTTTAATTGTCAAACTGTAGTTGTTGAGATTAAAGAGTTTATTTACTCCTTATTTTCCTCCTTAATATCAAACTTTGTAAAACTTTCTTAATCTTAGGTGATGAGTACAAATAGATTTGATATTTCTACATTATATAAATAGAGTTTCACATGTTTTATACGGTTTTAAAACCCGCAACATCGCGCGGGCTCCCTTGCTAGTTATTTCTATATTCCATCTTATGTGTTTCCATTTTCTCCCCCACAGATCACTAATAGCTTGGAGCAAAGATGCTACAAGGATTCACAAAACGAGCACTTTGTATCAGTTAAAATGGTGTTATGCATATAGGAAGCTATTATCTTTGTGTAAGGAGCAAATGTAAGTCTGAAGTAGCTTAATCTTGTAATATAATTGTGATTTTAGTAAAGGAAGCTTTTGTCATTTAGCCCTTCATTGATTCTAAATTTTCAGTTTATTTGTTAACAGTCATCGTTACCAACATTTGTGCAAAATTGTATAAGAGATCAGTTATGCAAATTTGTAGTTGTATTCACATATCAATGATATTACAATTTGTTTTCTCACAAAAAATTAAAAAAAAAAAAGAAGGAAAAGAAAAAGAAACATGAAATTCTAATTTGGGTGCCCGTACCATACGTGGCATCCTTTTTTTTAAAACACAATTTGCAAGTTTGACACCAATGATTTATGGTGGCACTGTTTTCAGATGGCACCAATTATATTGGTGGCATTGTTTTCAGATTGCACCAATGTATTAAGGGCAGCTATTGTTACAATAGAGACTTCTACATAGGACACGTACTTTAATTTGGTGGCTGCAAGGTGGCAATTGAGGTTTGCCACCAATGTCAGTGCCCACTCTTTATAATAGACACCAATGAAAATGGTGTTCTCTAGCCAAAATTCTTGTAGTGAATCCAATTAGGATTCTACTTGGGTTAGGTTTTTAAATTTTTGTGGGCTTAGTATTTCTTGATGCCTAAGTTATACACTTGTACACACACACACACACACACACACAAGCGTATAACTTGGGGGAGGGTGATCGGAGGGGATCAAACCAGCACCAAAATGCAATTTCTTTCTGCTACTACAGTAAAGCATCATCTACATATGTATCTTGTGATATCAATACAATATACAGTTTACATAATTCTACATGGTTTTGAAGCCACCCTTATTTATTTCCAAGTGCAAAACAACTAAGGTTGCGTTTAGTAAAGCTTTTGGGACATATTTGGGCTTCTAGCTAAAACTTTTACTACATCAAGCTGTTTGGTATAACACAACAAATCAGTTTTTGACAAAATCTTAAGGGTTTTTATCACAAATGGTCCCTAAAATCGACCCTCACCATCAAGATAGTACCTGAAATTGAAAATCAATCAAGTAGTCCCTAAAAATAGGTGTTGCAAATCAATTTAGTCATTTTGTCACAATTCTACTAAGTGCTGATGTGGCACATAAATGGGTCCCATAAGTCCTATTTTCTCACAAATAGTTCTTGAAATTGACTCATGACATCAAAATGGTCCCTGAAATTGACCCATGACATCAAAGTGGTCCCTGAAATTGAAAATCAATCAATGTAGTCTCGCAAATAAGTGTCCCAAATCAATGTAGTCCTTCCATCATGATTTTGTCAAAAATTCTATTATGTGTTGATGTGATACATAAATGGATCACACAAGCCTAATTCAATTTAAAAAAAAAAATTACAAATAGGTTTAATAATTTAATTGTTAATAAAAAAAATTGTGAACCCAAAAACCCAGTCCTATAGTCACCTCCAATCCCAGTCCACATTCCTCTACCTTCTTCGTTGTCTATTCTCTAAAAAGAATCTCAATACATCCAACTTTACATACTTCGACACGGCTCACCGAATTGAACCTAGATCGAGATCACCTTTAGTGACGGCTTGTCTGATTGGTAATGACTTATGGGACATCACTGTTAACATTTAGACGATCAATATCCTCACAACTTTAATCTTGGAGAGCTTGTTCGGCGCTTCCCTAGTGGTTTGGTGACTCAAAGAACAGCGAGGTCTGCCTTGAGATAATGAGGTTATAAGTGAGGTGCGTCTATTGGTGGTTGAAAACTATTTCCAAACCTCCTCTTAGGCCTTGGTTAAGCCTTGTGTCTTTGAGAATTTATGGAAGAGATCTCTCTTCAGAGTAGGTCCTACTATAAGAAAAAAAATTATATTGTGCAAGAAGGTATTTAGACAACTTTTTTAATTAATTATTATATCTACAAAACACATAACAAATTTTTTTACAGAATTGTGGTGGAAGGATCATATTGATTTGCAACACCAATTTTCAAGGACTATATTCATCGATTTTCAATTTTAGGGACCATCTTGATGGTGTGGGTCAATTTCAGGGACCATATTGATGGTGTGAGTCAATTTCAGGGACCATTTGTGATAAAAACCCGTAAATCTTGTGGGGCCCATTTTTGTGCAACATCAGCACTTAACGAAATTTTTAACAAAATTGTGACGGAAGAATCACATTGATTTGCAACACCTATTTTTAGGGACTACATTGATTGATTTTCAATTTCAGGAACCATCTTGATAGTGAGGGTCAATTTCAGGGACCATTTGTGATAAAAACCCAAATTATAATAATCAGATTCATACAATTAGAAGGCCTTTTCAAATTCAAATGACTCTCCAGATGAAATTATTAGTTAAGGAACCGTTTGATAATTATTTTATTTTTAGTTTTTATTTTCTGCTTTTACCGTTTTAAAACTGAAAAATGAAATCTTATTTAGTAACTCATTTCATTTTTTAGTAAAAGAAAAAAAAGAAAATTGAAAACTATTTTGCTATCGTTGTAATAAATAAAAAGTAACTAAGACTGAAATTTTATAGGAATTTTTATTTTTATAAACTATAGAATAACTTAAATAAATTCATCTAAACTACGAGAGGAAAATAATTTAAACAATATAAAATTTTAAAAGTTTTTAAAACATTGATCCAGTGAACTTAATTTAAAGTTGGGTGCCAATAAAGACACTCTTACGAGAAAGTCATGGGGTATAGGGCTGTATTATAGCCTCTGGAAAGATACCATAAAGCCCATAAGCAGAGTGATTGGGTTTATGCTTTTACACCTTCATTACAAAGCCTTTAATGTCAGCCATGGTTCCAAACTTCCAATAGAGTCTGCCATGGCAGTGGCACCATTGGCAGTTTTAACTCAAGGTATAACCCTATAACGAGTTTCCTCAAGTTATATTTTTGAGAGATTTTTGGGTTCTAATAGCTATTCAAGATCCTTTAGAAATGTTTTATGATTCTGAGTGGTTTTCAAAATGAGTCATTGAGTTTAGTTTCATCAATTTACACCATGATGATTTAACATTACAACTATTTAAGATTTGATTGATCGTTAGATTTTTTGTTAAATTGATGATCTGACAAAATAAGAGACTCATTTTTTTGTGATGATGTGTCGAAAAACTCATCTCTAACCCTTTCTATCAATGTGACAAAATAAAAAACTCATTTTTTTTATGCTGAGGTGTATAATAACTCTCAATCGTTGATGAATGTAGAACTCACATTACATCAATGACTTGTCATTATCATTTTTCACAAGATATAGGTGCAATCCTGTCCTACACCTTGCAACCTTACTAATATTATTTTAGTAACAAACATGGATTAGCACCCCTTAATAAGAAAAATAAAAGAGAAGACACATTCAAAGAGTGGGGAGTACATTATTTTCGATGGTATGTGGGTCCCCATGATCAATCTAATCCCTCGTGCAAGGGGATAAATGTGTAGAACATCAAAGCTATTCTCTATTTCACTAAACATTCCCCCAATCTCCATAAACTTCTGCATTAGTGTCCTACACGTTCTCTCTCTCGCCTCTCTCCTCACTTATGTTTCGGATCACCACAGGACCAATTCTCACTCAGTTTGACAAATCATCCTCAATCTCTCTCTCCCTTTTGAGAAATTCAACAAGCCACCACAGAGGAAGCTATAGAGGACAAAAGTCCAGTTTTTCCCTTTTGCCTTTTTCTTGCTCTTCTTTCTTTGCTTTCAAGGTCTTATTTCTTGTGTATTCCCAAACACACAGACGATTAATTCCTTCATTGGATTGTCCCCAAAACACAAATTATCTCACTTTCTGCCATTTTTCCCCAATTCCCCACCTGGGTTTCTTCCATTTTCTCCCCAAACTCACAAAGCAAGAACCTTTAATTCTGTTTTCTCTGTAATGCGTTTGTTCGGTTCGTCTGCAATTGGGAATTGCCAGTTGGTTTTTCTTTTCTTTTGTTGATGAGTTGATAATTTTCTGGATTTTGGAGCTATTTCAAGTTCCAAGAACATGGGGGGAGGAGAGAAGAGTGACAAAGAAACAAAGAAAGAAAACCAAGGTGATACAGATAATGAAGGAGTTGAGGGGATTGGGAGGCAGATGAGTGAGACTTCCGTCTCTGCAGCTGAGGAGGAGGAAGATGAAGAAGGAAGCAGTAAAATTCAGTTGGGTCCCCAATGCACTCTTAAAGAACAGATTGAGAAGGATAAGGTCTGTTTTTTCTGCTCAATTAATGGCAAAAAGTTAGTATCTTTTCACATTAATTTCTTTTATTTATGCAATATTTTCTTGGGTTGTTGACTTTTTTTTGTTTGCTGCACTGTTGGTTGACTTTGTTGTTTCAGGATGATGAGAGTTTGAGGAGGTGGAAGGAGCAGCTTCTTGGGGCTGTGGATTTTGAGAATGTTGGGGGTATGAGACGTTGAAAATTTCAATTCATCAGCTCTCAGCTTTTGTGATTTTACTAGAATCGTCGAATTTCAAAATCTTTGAATTTTATGTTAGTTTCTTTTGTACTTTAATCTTTCACTGTCGATGATTGCCAATGATCAAAGTTGTTAATAACTAATTGGAAATAATTAAAGTGTAGCTTTCCCTTAACCCCTTTTCCTTTTGTGCTTTCATTGGATGTGCAGTCCTTTTCCTGCCTTGATAGTTAATAATGATTCCTCATCTTAAGAATGTTTGCATCTTAATACGTATCATTGCTTCGGTCAATGTTCCTGTTACGCTTGTTTCCGAAGAAAATTTCACGTGAGAATTTGTAAATATTTTCTTTATTTTGATTTAAGATTCTATCATGAATTGTCATGTTTTTTACATATGTAGAAGAAAGAATAAAGGATCATCTTGGAGACATTGTTCTGTTTGGCCACAACCCTGAGCTTATCTCTTAGTTTTATGAATCTCAATCTCTGTCCGAGGCGCTATCATTTTAGGCGGCCTATAATATTGGGAATGGTTTTGCATAATTTGTTTTATTGTCTGTTTTAATGAATGGTGTTATCACGAATCGTGATCACGAAAATGTCAGTACTACATTGCTATTCACAGAATTGAACTTTCTCAAAAACCTGTGATGGAACAATTTAGAGCTGATATCTTGCACTCTTTTCTGCATATGGTGTATCTTGCAGCACAAGGCCTGTATCTGGACTTGATATTAGAACACCATAATTGTTGAACTTTGAAAATTAGTGATTCTTCACCTATCGTCATTTTACTAGAACATTCTCGGAACTTTTTTCCTCCAATCTTGTAGACTTGTAGAATGTAGAGATGAAATTGTCAATTATCGGGTTTCTTTCTTCATCTTTTTTCTTCTTTGTTTCCAACCAACCTACGTGTACAGTTAGCTATGTTCTTTATTAATTTGATAGTAAGGATGTACATTTAGAAATGATTTAGCTCCAATACTCTATTTCCGATGTTTTACTCTGTACAGACACGATAATTGTTTGAAAAGAGTATGCCTTCATCCATATTTTTGCGCTTTTTTTAAAGGGTTTTCCGTTCCTTTCTCGCACATAGTAATTGTTTCCCTTGTTTTGCAACAGAAACTCTTGAACCAGAAGTGAAGTTCATTCAGCTGTCAATCCTTTCTCCTGGTAGACCTGACATTGTTCTTGATATTCCAGAAGATGGGAAACCCAAAGGCTTATGGTTTACCCTGAAAGAAGGTAGTCAGCACAACCTGAAGTTCTCCTTCCAAGTTAAGAATAACATTGTATCCGGCCTCAAGTACACCAACACTGTTTGGAAAACTGGTGTCAAGGGTAAGTAATCCGTCTCCATCCTAGTTGTTCATGTAAAATGAAACATCCCGAACTTGAATTGTTCCATTCATGATGATTTTAATTTCAGTCGACAGCACAAAAGAGATGATTGGAACTTTCAGTCCTCAGCAAGAGCCTTACATACATGTGATGCCGGAAGAGACCACACCTTCTGGCATGTTTGCCAGAGGATCATATTCTGCAAGATCAAAGGTAAGCCTAGTTGAAGTATTTTTCAGTTAATTGACTGCAGTAATATAGTCACCACTACAAAGTCTCATTCTGTTCTGTCTATCTTTCTGTTATTGCAGTTTCTTGACGATGATAACAAGTGCTACTTGGAGATCAATTACACCTTCGATATTCGAAAGGAATGGGCTAAATAAACCGATAATTTCCCAGAGTGCTAGCAAATCTCTTCCATTCAGCTGATGTTCTCACACCGCAGTTAGTTTAAGATTTTTTCCGGTTAATGATAGCCGAATATTACTTACTTCCATGCTTATGCTAAGTTTGTTACTTAATTTTCATAACATCGGATTGCAAGAAAGCGAGAGTGTTTTTTTTCCTTTTCGAGGGGATTCTTTGGTTACTGCCTGCAATAAAAAAGGTGAGCTTAGATTCTGTTCTAATCGAAAGGATTGTTGCTCTGGTTTGGATGCGTTTGGATTTGTTTTCTTCATCTTCTTCCTATTCAAATAGGCCCTATTTGTTTCTTCCACCTAAAAGAGTATCGAAAATTTGGAAATTTATTGGGACAAACAGAATGCTTAAGCTAATCTTAATAGGTTGGTGACAAGTGTTTCAAATTCACCGTCAAAACACGAGTTGTTGGCAATGAGGCTCGTACCTTAAGTGGTTAAGAACATTATCCAACACCAGAGTCCCTAAGTTCGGTTTCCTCCAGTCTCTATCCCCAGTATTAATAAACAAAGAAAAAACAAGAGTTGTTGAGTTCAAATCCAAGTTTTCCTAGCATGAACTCAATAGGGTTCAGAGATTGAGGCCCTCACATTTGTGTCATGCCTCTTTATTGTAAGGTGCAAGAGATTTCAAAGAAAACCACACCTGAAAGGAAGATCCTATCTGCTTTCTGCACTGACAATAACCCACCATTCTCCTACCTCCACATTCATGCTTTAGGACTTTGCCATTGTATTGTATTAGTGCTTTCTTCGTAACAAGTCTTAAAAATGGAATGGACACAAGAGTTTCAATGTATCGGGAACACGGTCTGGTACAACAAGTGTCATTTTTTTTTTCAAATTTCCAACTAATGGTATTATTACACTTGATATAGCAGGTCATATTCCCAACACACTGAAAAATCTCTCGTTATATTGATAGTCCAGCATTATCAAGTCTATTCTAAAAAAAATGTAGCCATTAGATTATGTAGGAGAAGAGACTTAAGGAGAACGTAGGACTTATTTAGAATTTAGCCAAACCAATGTGAGACTAGCTTTCCCCAAAAAAAAAAAAATGTGAGACTAGAGTTTTTTACTAAAGCAATATTCTAATACATTCCAATTTACAGAAAAATAGAATTGATTTTAGTTGTAGTTTTTTTGGGAATATTTAAAGAGATCGAAACTCATGAAGTTCTCCTATTATGTTGACTAAAAAAAGCTAAAAAATGCATATTTCAACGTAGTTAAGTTAGTTAAGAAAGTGTCCCATGTACATATAAGTTCGAATTATTCTCCTTAAAATTTATATAATATTTATTTAAAATATGACTCATATGAAAATAAATAATTTTAAAACGTTGAGATTTCATGGGTGGTTAGTTAATTAGACGAGGATCATGTGCAAAAACACTGCTCTTTGCCAACTAATTGGTTTGACTAAAAATTTCCATCACACCTTTCCCCCAAGTAGAAGACAAATCCCACCTCTTAAGATGAATGATTAATTAATCAAACTACCTGATTTGACCACAAATACCAATGACTTTCACATGCCTCTGCATATTCAAAAAATATGTCAAGAAATTCACATCATTAATAACAATATAAAAATTGTATTAGAATTTTCCAACTGAAATGTCAATTTCTATATGGTATGAGATGGAATGACAACAGATGGAGTTACTGTCAAACTTGACAACAATTTTAAATAATTTTTAATTAATTAGTAAATACTTTTTAATTTCTTATTCGTTTAAATATTTATTATAAATAACCGTTAATTGTGTGACCATTGCAATTTATCTTTTATCCTACATTTTTTTTCTTTCTAACCAACGAATTCATTTTTTTACCTTATTTTGGTGACCACTGCAAGTTCTAATAGATATTTACTATTAACGGTTATTTATAATAAATTATTACAAAAAAATATTCTGTCTAAATTTATAAAATAAAATATTTTTGTAGCTACATTGGTAAATCACAATAGCAAACCAACCATGTGCTTTTACGAGTTTGATATGTAGTTGTGACGAAGATAATAGACATTTGTAATGAGTGATATTTAATAGTGGCTAGTTTTATTTGCGGTACTTTGTTGAGTAGATATAAATATTAATTATCATATAAGAGTTATTTAATGCTATATTACACTATTAGAAAAATTATTACAATAATACAGCATAATTAGTAATAATATTTCCTTGTACAACAAAATTAGGAACAATAATTATGATCATGTGGTAGGTTAAGAGTTATTAGTATTATTTTGGATTAAGGTTTACTTTAACAAGGTTATACAGTATATGCGTAATGTTGGGCATGTGGTCAGTGGTGTCTGCGTATCGGCGGAGACACGGTGAAACAGTGTCGTATTTACGGCGTCGCGTGGTTTCTCTGAGTGAGTGCGCGTGTTTGCCAAATCATTACGCACCAGTTGGCACCGACGGACTTTAGAACAACTAGACAGCCAATGTTTGTTGGTCCAAATCTCATGTATGCCCCACTATGCCATTCTTGTTTCTTTAATTCCTAATTTTCACCATGAGGAATTGGATTCGACCGTTTTCGAGCGCTGAATTTCGAGTGTAATGATAAACGCTCTTAATTATTGAGTTATAGATTCTATGCTTTACATTTTGAGATGTCAATTAGGTATTGTGCAAGTTTCTCAAACTCGTATTTTTTATAATCGTCCTTAAGTTTAGGCCTGACATTTGGACTTAATTCGTTAACATGTTCCAACCCACCAGTTAAAAATTAGCATTTCAATGGATGCTTAATGAGTCAGGTCGTTAACAAATAAACTCGTTGAATGTCAATTAGGCATTCTACAAGTTTCAAATTACAAAGGACTTGATGTCAATGAACGTAGGCAGTCCTTCTAGATTGGCCTTTGCTTGGAGTTAGTTGATACGTTATAAGTTTGTTGCTTGTCCTTTTCCTACTTCCTACCCCAGATTTTACCATCCAAGTAAATACCAACAAGTTCGATTCCCAAGAAGCAAAAGACAGAGAGAAAAGACCAGTTACAAACCACACACGATTAGCACTAATTAACAAGAATACTAGCCATGAAAGATTCAACCGGTGCTTTGGTTTTGCCAAAGGATGATAGCCAGGAAAGGTTCAACTGGTGCCTTGGTTGAGCCAAGAATGCTAGCTAGGAAAGGTTCAACTGGTGCTTTGGTTGAGACAACCGCTAAGTAAAATCAACAACTTACATTAGTTTAGGTGCGACGTCTAAGAGTGTAGAAATATAACTCTTTGTAATGATGTGTGAAAAATATGTAAGGTAATCTTATATGGGCTTATAAGTAAATTGATCTATTCTTTATATTGTCAATTAATTTTATGATAGAACTTTAAGTTTCTTCAGAGAAAAACTAAATAGGGTGTTCAAGGAAGGGAGCATTAAACATTTCCTCATTGGAATGTTGCATGGCAGAGTTCCTAATGCGGAAAGATGAATTAAATTTTTCTTGAATAATACGCATTATTAACATGACACGAGTATAAATAGATAAATTCAAACAAGTTCCATCGACAACCCTAGCTTGAAAATGTAGGAGAAAGTCTTTAATGATGAGGTAGAGTGAAAGTTTTGAGTCTCTTCAATGCATTGAGAAACTGATTTGATGAAGTTGATTTAGAAATCCTACCCCACACACACTCTCCCCTGTTTTTAAAGTGAAAATGTCACTTCAATTAAAGTAAACAGTTTGCAAAGGCTTAATTATTAATAGTCTAGAGGGGGTAGGGAATTCGTAAGATAGCTTTTGTAAAGTCTACATGATAAAATCCGTTAGAATTTAGGTTAAAAATTAAAATTTTCGTTAATTTTATGTTAATTATTGTCATGAGACTAAAAAGATAAAGTTAGTATCACATTCTCAATTAATAAAGAGTTCTGTTTTAAACTCATATGTGTCATTCACATGTTAATAATTAACAAAAAATTAATAATTTTTTTAATTTTGAATATAAATCGTAACAAATTTTATCACATAAGCTTATCCTCTAATTTTTTTTATCAGATAGGCTATTTTTTTATCCATTTGCACTTTGCAAAACCAAACCCCCACTTTCCATCTTTACATCTCTTCACACCACCACCGCCACCAGGGCACCAGCTGGTTCCATCCCCACACATTTTCTTTTGTTTTTATCTCACCAGCCAGCAAAAGACCCCCTCTCACTTTATATACCCTCATCACATTTTGCTCTTCAATTGCATACGCAACCTCCATTTTCTCTCTAAGTTCCTCTGCTGTGAGAGGTCAGTGCTACCATATTTTTTCTTCAGGATTTTGCGTGTTCAATTCTACTTCTTTGAGCTTCTGAAAGTTTACCGCTTTACTTAATATTCTTTGATATTTAGTCTTATTTGATATGTTGTGATGTATTATTTTGAATTGAGCTGATCTAGATCTGATTTGTGGGTGTGCATTGTTTGAATGTGGACTCTTTCCTCTTGTTCTTCTAGAGATTTGTTGACTTGGGTTTTACTGAGAAACCTCTAGTGAGTGTGGGAAAGGTTAATTTATTGCCTCATAGAAACAGAACTTTGATCTGGTTTTTCCCATTTTTTAATTTCTTTTCTGGGTTCTGAAACAGGGAATTGGGTCATTTTCTAAGTTAATTTCACCTGCATTTCCTGTTTCCTTCATTGCAGTTTCATTTACTGTTGCATCTGTTCTTTTAGTGCAGTCCATTAGATCTTTAATTACCACTTTAATGGGTAATCATCCTGTTTTACAACTTTTTTTTACTGTAAATCAAGATCTGGCAATGATTGTGTTTTTAGATTTTCTTACTTTTTCCAAGATTTAGCAAAATGGGTGTTGTAGAAAAATAGTTCTACTGCAAGGAAAAGGTGAAAAGGATGGATCTTGGAGTAAATTGAAGAGTTTTACTGCCCACACTGTGTTTAATTGGCCTCATAAGAGTGGTTAATTAATTGGTATTTTACCACTTTGCATGTCTTGTTAAACTGAGATTTAATTCATATTTGGAATTTATTCTTGCAGGAATTTGTTGGAGAGTGTTTCCATACAAAATAGTACTATCAAATTTTTTGGAGAAAATGGAACTTCCTGTGATTTGCATGCTACTACTTCTGAGTTCTTCAGCAGCATATGCTCAAAAAACCAAACCTCCCTCTCCCTCTTTCAGCCCTACTCCAGCCCCGGCTCCAGCGCCAGATTTCGTGAACCTCACAGAATTACTCACCGTGGCCGGGCCATTCCACACCTTCCTTAACTACCTTCAATCCACTAAAGTGCTTGAGACCTTCCAAGACCAAGCCAACAAGACTGAGGAAGGCATAACTATCTTTGTCCCAAAAGACAGTGCCTTCACAGCTCTTAAGAAGCCCTCTTTGTCCAATCTGACCGCTGACCAGCTCAAGTCAGTCATCCTATTCCATGGCTTGCCCCATTACTACACTCTAGCCGACTTCAAAAACCTCAGCGAATCAGGCCCAATTCCTACATTTGCCGGCGGAAGTTACACTTTGAACTTCACTGATACTTCAGGCTCTGTGCACCTTACCTCAGGATGGTCAGACACAAAAGTAAGCAGCAGCGTGCACTCAACCGATCCTGTTGCAGTTTACCAAGTTGACAAGGTTCTTCTACCTGAGGCAATCTTTGGTACTGACATTCCTCCAACCTCAGCTCCAGCACCAGCACCAGCTCCTGACACTGCACCAGCTGCTGATGCTCCAACCGCTGATGGAGGCTCATCATCTCCAGGATCTGCACCGGAAAAATCTTCGTCTTACAGGATTATCAGCTGGGGCATTTGGGGTCACTTGGTTTTGGCAGTCTCAGGTGGTCTGGCCTTGATCTTGTGAGAGACACCTCCCCGGTGATTGAAATTTTTTTCGAGTTATATGTTAAGTGGGTCGATTCGCTTATTTACGTTCGATTGCTTGATTTGAAACCATTTTTTGTGGACATATGTGGCACTGAATCTCTATGTGTATGAGAATTTGAGTTCTTTTATTTACACGAGTAAATGGGATTTTGTTTGATCTGCTGTTTATGCGGTGAAAAATTGTTGTACTTTTAACTTAATTCTTCTGTTGCTTAGCTTACAAGATATACATAAATACATGTGAGATTCTTCGGCCTGGTTTGATGCTAAGGTGATTCTGAAAAAAGCTAGTATCAAAAAAAGCTAGGAGCTGTTTTTGTGTTTGGTAAACATTCAGCTTCAACTTTTTTTTCACAGTTTTGGATGAAAAAAAGCCAAAAACAAGAAGCTGCAAAACTCAGCTTTGAAAAATCGGTTTTTTTTCACATCTGTTTTACATAAAAGTTTACCAAATACTATAATACTGTTTTTTTTTTCAAAAGTACTTTTACAAAAAAGTTTACCAAGCACTCTGTTTCTTTATTTCATAGCTGCTTATTCTCACAGCATAGTAGAAGTAGCTTTTTTTTAAAGCACAGCAATACCAAACCAGCCCTTCATGTTATGGGGATCGCCTGCTGGTTTTTGCTTCTTCAGAGCAGGCTGAGACAATCATCGAGACAAAAACATATGCATCTGAAAGTGGAAGAGTTTTCACATTAAGGAAGATGTGTCATTAAGAAACATGTTTCATAGAAAAAGATTAAGCAGTGCACACTAAACTGATCTTTACTTTACGAGGAGAAAGACTAGTGTGTCGCTAGAGATGTATCTTCATCTCACTATAGCACTCATCGCGTGACTTGAAGAGATGAGAATGGGATACATCTCCGTCGACAAAGACTTGGGTGCCATTGAAGATGTATCTTCATCTCACTATAGCACTTGTCGCGTGACTTGGAGAGATGAGAATGTGATACATCTCTGTCGACAAGCATGACAACAAGTCATGCTATGAAACTGCCCCTACTTTTGCTCATCACAACATTTGCTTTGTTTGTCAACGACTTTTACGAGATGATATTTTAAACACTCTTACTCTAATTTATAAAGAAGAGGTTTCGAACTTGGGTGCAATGCTCTTACCAACTGGACTAATCTCTGGTTTGTCAACCATTTGCATCAGCTAAACCGTTTACAAGTTACCATTTTACAATAACATTTTTCTACTCTTGCTAGGGAACTTGCACAATGTTCAAACTATATAACAAGGTCCAAACTTTTGTATACCTTTTCTTATTTGTTGTGAATTGTTAAATATTCAACAAGCAATCAATATGTTTTTGAAATAATTCTTCACACGCAACAAGCCTAACACATAACGATATACTCAGTTGAAGTTTGAATTTAAAAACTAATTGACAATACAAAAATAACTAAACTTTTATCAACTATTGTAAAATTTCATAACTTTCTGACGTGCGAGAGTGCTCACAATGTGTATGCTTATGTGGAAACACAATAAATGATTTGAAATTTATAGAAGATGCCAAACCGACCACATTCCTCTTCCCTCAAAATATTTTTAGACGTTCACATTCCTTTTACGCAGACATAGCCGGCCTCTCCTCCTCTGCTTTTCCATTTTCCTATCTATTTTCCTTCCCCTGGCTCTTCGCGCGTCCTTCCGCCTACACGTTTTTCTCTCCTTCTCTCACTCTCGACTTCTTTCCTTTCATCAATCTACACACAAACATCTTTCTCTCTCTCTCTCTCTCTCCAACATCCAAACTTCTGCAGAATCAATGAGAAAGTCCATCAATTTCGGTTTTGTCTTCTGAATCTCCGTGAGGTACACTCCATTTCCCGACGTGGGTTTTGATTATTTTATATGTTTATGTCCGTTACTGTATGATTCGATTACTGGGTCAATCTTAAAAACGCGTTTTTTGATCGACGTGCATGCTATTCTGCATCTATGATATGATTCCTCAATTGGGTTCTCTTCATATATCGATCTAGTTTGTGTTTCTGTTGTTGCCAGATTAATAATTACATGCTAACACGTCGAACATTGTCATCTTTATAGCTATTTGAAGATTGAAATATGTGATTTTTGTTTCTGGGGAATTCAGTGTCTTAGTATTTTGTACTGGGAATTCGGCACAAACAAAGGGGAAGATGTCTGCATTTGAAGGAGTTATTGTTTCTGATACATGGCTGCAGAGCCAATTCACTCAAGTCGAGCTTCGCACCCTCAAATCGAAAGTAAGCTTTTTGTGATTGGTTATCAATTTTATGCATTTTATTTTCTGTCAAATTGTTAGGAGAAATTTTATGATCAAGTGGAAATTTTTTGGTGATATGTGAAATTGGTTGCATTGGTTTTAGTTTCTTTCGATAAGGAATCAGTCTGGTCGAGTCACATTGGGAGATTTGCCGCCTGTTTTTGCGAAATTGAAGGCTTTCAGTGATATGTTCAATGAAGATGAGATTAAATCAATCTTATTGGAGTCGGGCAATAACATTGGTGAAGAAATTGATTTTGAGTCCTATCTTCGGGTGAGTCTTCCATTTCTCCTGCACTTAGTGGATTATTCATAATCGTTTTATGGAGTATGCATTTGCAGTCTTGTTTCTTTTACATCATGTTCTGATATTTGTTAGACACAATGGAATCGGATTTGCTAAATGGCAGGCATATTTGAATTTGCAAGCACGTGAAAATGCAAGATCTGGCGGTTCAAAACAATCTTCCTTTCTCAAGGCAACCACAACAACGGTTCACCACGCGATTAATACTTCTGAGAAGTCTTCTTATGTTGCTCACATTAATGGCTACCTGGCGGAAGATCCGTTCTTGAAGAAGTATCTTCCTTTAGATCCATCTACAAATGCTCTATTTGATGTTGCAAAAGACGGAGTACTACTCTGGTAGTGTTTCTTGACCCACTCAATTTTATACTCAGTAGAGTCAACTGACATTTTTCAAGTTTCTTAATTATTTTAGTTGTTTGATGTAGTAAGCTTATCAATATAGCTGTTCCTGGGACTATAGATGAGCGAGCTATCAACACTAAAGCAGTTCTTAATCCATGGGAGAGGAATGAGAACCATACCCTTTGTCTTAATTCTGCTAAGGCTATCGGCTGTACTGTAGTTAACATCGGCACACAGGATTTGGTTGAAGCACGAGTAAGTTGAGCACTAGCAGCTACCTATTGGAATGTTTTTATTAGTTTCCCTTCTTGTTCTGAGCTTCCAATTTTCTCGTAACGTTTTCACATATTCTTAATTTGCAGCCCCATCTTGTACTTGGCTTGATTTCACAAATAATCAAGGTATGCAGTGTGAAACATTTTTGCTTTTTTTCTTTTGTGTCTCTTAGATCATAGAAACCAGCGTTTCAAGATTTGGGTTATCGAGGTGTAAACTTTTAACTCATTTTTCTCATGGTGGCATTATCAGATTCAACTGTTAGCTGATCTTAATCTGAAGAAAACTCCCCAACTTGTGGAATTGGTGGATGACAGCAAGGTCAAATCTTTATTTTTTTTTCCTTTTATCCATGTTTGGATAAGGGTAGATGATCTCCATTTACATTTCGCCATGTTTGTGGATGAGCACATAAACTTACTTCAGGTGTTGTGTTCATGGACAGGATGTGGAGGAGCTCTTGGGTCTACCACCAGAGAAAGTTCTACTAAAATGGATGAATTTTCATCTAAAGAAAGCTGGCTATGAAAAGCAAGTCACAAACTTCTCTTCTGATGTGAAGGTAAGAATGAGCTGACCAGTTTAGTAATGATAAGCATTTTAAGCATAAACCTAATTGTTACGGTGTTACAGTTGTACTTCCCGTTTCCTGTAAGCTGACCACTAAATTATCAATTAAGAAGGAGGATATTTTATATGCATCATACATCGTATCTTATTTGAGTTGCTGCTGTGCAGTTAGAATTTCTTGCTGACTTACAAAGAAAAGCAATATTCTGCATAAAACTTGTATCCAACATGTTTTAGTTTTGTTTTAAAGTATGTTGTTGAGTTTTTTTCCTGTTCTCGTGGTTATGTAATAAACCCGATGCATTTTCAGGATGGAGAGGCTTATGCTTACCTGCTTAATGCTCTTGCACCAGAGCACTCAGGCCCTGCCGCCTTGAATATGAAGGATCCTACAAAAAGAGCAAACCTGGTTCTTGAGCAAGCAGAGAAATTGGATTGCAAAAGATACCTTACTCCAAAAGACATTGTTGAGGGCTCACCAAATCTTAATCTTGCATTTGTTGCACAAATTTTCCAGCACAGGCAGGAAACAGTACTTCTCAAGTTCTTTAGTTTGAGCTTGCAAATTTGACTTCTCTATTGCAAGTTAATTGTACTGAGTTAATCGTGTGTGGCTTTCTCTATTGCAGAAATGGGTTGTCTGCTGATAGTAAAAAAATGTCCTTTGCTGAGATGATGACAGATGATGCCGAAACTTCTCGAGAAGAGAGATGTTTCCGACTGTGGATTAACAGTCTTGGAACTGCTACCTATGTCAATAATCTTTTTGAAGATGTCAGAAATGGGTGAGATTTTCAATTCCTTCTCACGCTTACCCCTTCGAAGCACGTACCTGTTGTGCCTGGTTGTCCCGTGGTTAATATATCTCACTTGTGCACGCAGATGGGTTCTTTTAGAAGTGCTTGACAAAATTTCTTCAGGATCAGTCAACTGGAAGAAGGCATCAAAGCCTCCAATAAAAATGCCGTTTAGAAAAGTCGAGAATGCCAACCAAGTTATAGAGATTGGAAAGGAATTAAATTTCTCCCTTGTGAATGTAGCAGGGAATGATATTGTGCAAGGAAATAAGAAGCTCATACTGGGTAAGTTTGAAGAGTATTTTCTTTCATGTTCTATCTTGGTATGACCGCAATATTCAATTTTTCCATCCAAGCAAAGCTTCAAAGTTATGTTACTTCCTTAGAACTATACGTTTTCTGATCCACTTGGCAAAATAAAAGACCGAAGTTTTGGTTTCTGATGATATGTTGACTACTTGAGTTTTTGTTTTTTGCGTTCTTTTGGGCTTGATTTTGTTTCTGGTTGTGCTTAAGACAAATCGCGCCCTTGGCCCTTTTTCTTAATTCATATTTTTATGATGTAAGTGATAACATTTTAACTTTTCTACCTCTG